ATATAGAACGACTTATACTATATTAGTTATTAGTTTGTGAAAGCTGTTTCTACTAGTGAGGTTTCTCCTTCGATATTTTGTACTTGTTTTAATAAATTTTCAATGAGTCATACAACACATGTTTATTTTTTCATTTCATGACGATCACCACTTCCTATGCGCTGTAGAAAGCTAAACAGAAATTTCTCTTTTTTTCTCTGTTCTATAAATACCTATAGCTACCAGAAGGATTATTATAATAGTTCTATCAAAAGATCCTTATTTTTGAAGTTTTTTTTATAAAATTAATTTTTTTATATTAAATAATTCATTCGTACATCTGTTTTTATATTTATACTTTGACCTATCAATAATCGAACGAATGAGAGATAAATTAGTCAAACAAGAAAAAAAAAACGAGCATTACTTTCTGTACAACATATTTGAAATAGACATAATATGACATGAAAACATATGAAGAACATAAATGAATGAAACTTATAGAAAGTAGATCATTGAGAATGAATTCATTTGACATGATTAAATTTAAAAACTATTGTCACGTCGGATCTTATAAAAACATCTCGAGTAACTATGAATTTCGAATAATAAAAGTTACTTTAAGAAGAACAAAGAACAAACTAAATACATCATAAATCTCTATACATAAATAATAAACTAATGTAAAGTTTACTTGAAACTATCAGAGAATCTTTTGATTAAAATTCTTAATACTTTTATTATGAGTCATTTAATTTCAGCAATTTTAAATTAACTATAGAATAATATATGAATCCGAAACATCCCTTTTCTTTTTTTATTAACAATGACAATGTTGAAATATTGTATTGTTCATAATATGAGACTAATAGTTGTGCAATGAGTTGTTTTTCCATTCTACTGGACTCATATAAATGTAAAGCAGGGCAAAGCGAAACATCCACAAACGGAAGTAAAGGAAACACTCTATAGATGGATGGTAAAAGAAAACAGTAACTCTTGAAAATGCATAGTAAAAAAACAATGAAATTGAAGACAAGAAAAAAAAACTTTATTTGGTTAAAACTCCATAGTAGTGTCCAATGTCCCATGAGAACGCATGAAAAAAAAGAATAGATTATTTTCATTATATTTTGATTGAAAATTAATCTTTTTTTCAAATGATTGAAGCAGAGTTTTTACTTTTTATTCATAAGCAAAAAGTTTAGTAATATAGCTTAAAACTATTCTTATCTAGTTCAAATAAAAATGACATTTTGTGATAAAAGTGAACTATAAACATTGAACTTTTCTAATATTATTCATATCATTATTTTCTTAAACTTTCTCCAATTTTTAAAGTAATTTATTTGTCATCATTGAGTTTTCATTTGTCTATCTGATTTCACAGGATCTTCTTGAATGTTGACCGTGCTAGACTCGACTTACTAGAAATACATCAAATTGGTTTAGAATTTGGTAACAATTTGATTCTTTGATCAGCGACAAAGTTCTACAAAATCGAATATGCCAAAAAAAAAATTATTACGTTTTATGTTTCTATATAGTTGTTAATTATTGATGTCAGTAATTAC